TAGGTAAAATGTGAGATATTTTTACCTTCAAACTGGACTAACTAGTTCTTAATCAAGATTTTGAAAGCGTGATAAGACCAGGTTCACTTTACAAATAGTGATAAAGATAAAAGAATTATGACAGCTTCCGAGCTCCGAGGAGAACACTTATGGAGAACACTTCAATTCGGAAGAATCAGTCAAAAATTGGCTTTGAGAGTTTTTCGATTTAAAACCAAAATCCTATCACGAAAGAGGAATCCGCAAATTGCCTGTAAAATGGGCAGAAGTCGTCAATAATAATGGGAATTATTTGGAATGAATTGGTGGTTTTATGTTGACTAAATTTTAGTTCAAAGTCCCGCAGTTTTCAATTCACCAACCCAATATAATTTCTTGATTTTTCTTCAACACAATTTCATCAATTCTTTGCGCAAAAGATAAGAAGAAATAATCAATAATAATGGTGAATAGATTTTCGATTAAACTATGTTGTTCGTTCAGGATCAAATTTGTTTCAACTAAAATGCTTGTTTATATCCGAAGAACTAAAATTCAAGAGAGTCATAGTAGCCAACTCCCTAATGCGATAGTTCTTCTTCTGATTCTTTCTGATCCCTTTAAAAGAATATCGTTTTATACAGTAACCAGAAACATGAAACTCTTTAGCAAAACTCTAGCAAAACTCTAGCAAAACTCTAGCAAAACTCTAGCAAAACTCTTTAGCAAATTAAACGTTTCAAGAAGTTTCATCAATAAACCACTTTCCATTAGTCATTTCTATCAATTCTATTGACCTGATCTTCCTTTTTTCTCGAAAATCAGCTGATTTCCCGTTCTTCTCTCTGGCTAGCGGTAGAAAATCATTGAAAAACTGAAACTCGACTGAAAAAGGGAAAACAATGCATTTTGATAAGGAGCCAAAAACAGATTTTTGTTATTTTTGAGAAAACATTGAATGCTTGAGATTTTTCTGGATGAGTTGTGTTGACAGAGATTTTGCAGTTACGTAAAATTTTAAGTTTTACGAGTTTGCGAGTTTCTTGGATTTCTATTCGATTCTGAATCCGATTCGATTCTCAATCCTATTTGATTCTCAATCCTATTTGTTTCTCAATCCTCTTCGATTCTGAATCCTATTCGATACTGAATCCTCTTCGATTCTCAATCCTCTTCGATTCTCAATCCTCTTCGATTCTCAATCCTGTTCAATTCTCAATCCTCTTCGATTCTCAATCCTCTTCGATTCTCAATCCTCTTCGATTCTCAATCCTCTTCGATTCTCAATCCTATTCAATTCTCAATCCTATTCAATTCTCAATCCTCTTCCATTCTGAATCCTAAAACTTAGAAAATTCAAATTTTCAATTACAATTCAATATTTAGAAAGCAGAACTTGGTCTTCCATTGTTCCAAACTTCCAAACTTCTTCCAAACTTCTTGCGCAACTTTAGAGTAATAACTTTGGTAAGTCAATAAACCGTGAAAAGGAAAATAAAAGCTAAAAGATGACTTTCAATTACTTTACTTGACATTCAAATTCATCAAATTGATCTTTTTCTGAATTTAAATCAATATTTTGTCAATTCTTTATCAATCAATGTCAACCTAAAAGTGATCCATTTTTTTGGCAATAAACCTTGTAAACTTGTCCTTTTACGTGCGAAAAACTTGATCTTATTTATTTGACACAAAATTTTCCCAAACGATCCAACTGTTTTTGTTGACTTGAGCACATTAAAAGACTAAAAAGAGAAAAAGAACAGGTTCGATTTTATGAGAAAATGATTGAAAAAGAGGAAAAGGGGAAAAGGGGGGAAATGGAGAAAGAAGAGGTAATGGAACGCTTCGTTGCATAGAAAAGACATCGATTGGATTGTCTTTGCGTAAAAAATGTCAACTTTTAATGAGTTTTGATGTTTTCAGCTATCCTTTCAGCTTCCAAGCTATCCAAGCCATCTTCTTTATGCTTAAACGCAAGCTTTCTGGCACATCTGCTTCATTTTCTTTTCTTTTCCAGTAACTTCTTTATAATCTTACTATTTATTAGCCTATGCTCATCACTAAACGCACACTTTCTGGCACACTTTTGAATCGTTTTCTAGTGATATTTCTATCCTATTTCCAGTGATATTCCTGTGCTTCAAATGCTAGCAAACTATAATTGAAAACGTTCCTTTTTTAAATGAACTTGTTTTGAAGCTGTTCTAGAGCTGTTTTGAAGCTCTTTTAGAGCTGATTTGAAGCACTTTTAGAGCTGTTTTGAAGCTGTTCTAGAGCCGAAGCTGTTCTAGAGCCGAAGCCGTTCGAGAGCCGAGAGCAAACTGTAATTTAAAACGTTTCTTTTTTAGATGAATTGGTTTTGTAGCTCTTTTAGAGCTGTTTTGAAGCTGTTCTAGAGCCGAAGCTATTCTAGAGCTGAAGCTGTTCTAGAGCTGAAGCTGTTCTAGAGCCGAAGCTATTCTAGAGCCGAAGCCGTTCTAGAGCCGAAGCTGTTCTAGAGCGGAAGCTGTTCTAGAGCTGAAGCTGTTCTAGAGCCGAAGCTGTTCTAGAGCCGAAGCTGTTCTAGAGCCAATTGCTTAATTAAACCGATCACTGATTCAATCATTTGAATGTAGAGTGTACCAGAAGGCAAAAAAAGCAAAGCAACGGTTCAAATTGATCTTGTTTTCTTTTGCCACACCTGGCTCGTACTTTGTTCTGTAACAGAAAAGGTAAACGCTTTCTTTTTGTACTTATTTTATAGCAAAATAATTCGTTTGACATCAAAAAAAACCGCTTGTTTGACCCAAGCGGTCAAACAAGCGGTTTTTTTTTCTCTTTTCTATTTTAACTCTAAAGTTCTCTGGGTTCAAATCAAACATTTTCTTGTTTGCTAAAGTGTTTCACATAAGCAAACACACTCAAAAGTTGATCGAAATGAAACATTGAAGAAATAAATATTGTTTTTAATTCGTTTCTTTGAATAAACCGTCAATCGTTCTTCTAAACTTTCAAATTTGAAAAAAGAACTGAAAAATTGCTAATTTTTGTAGTTTTTTTTCCGATTTTCTTCCAAAACTCTTCAATTTTATGACTTTTTTGAAATCTTTCTGCTTTATTTACTTAATTTCATCAAAGCAACCCCTTCGTAAAGCTAATTTTTGATAACAGACTTAAGCATTCGAATTTCTTATCCTCTTTTTTTTGTTCAAAAAGCTTTTTGGGTTCTGTTTTAGACCAAGTTCAACTTTTCATTTATAGAGCCGGTTTCGATAAAATCCCAGATCCCAGAAAAACTCAGCTCTATTACTTGGCCGAAAGAAAATGGATAATAACTGGATAATAATGGATAATAACTGGAAAAAGTCTGTTTTTCTTTTACTTATTTATTCCAAGAAATGATTTGAATCTGAAATCTGAAAGATCTGAAAGAATATCTTATAAAGAAGAATCTTATAAATATTATAAAGAACAATCTTATAAATCTTAATAATAATACTTTATTCAAACGATAAAGTGAAAGAAATCATAGAGAAATGCACAGTGATACTTAATCATACAATACATACTGAAATCAATAAGCCAATTACTTACGGCAAAGAGCCAAAGAAGAGTCTTATAAACATTATAAAGAACAATTTTATAAATATTATAAAGAAGAATCTTATAAATATAAAGAACTTGTATATAAAAAACATAAAGAATTCAAAGTGTAACCACTGAAATTCGCTAATTATTAAAAGAAGAACCAAAAAAGTCAGACAGGGGATTGAACCCTCGACCCCATGACTGAGATACGAGGCTCTTAGCCAGTCGGCCATAGCCATGTTTGCCGGGGGGGATGCAAAGGCTTGTTATACTTGGCATAAGTGGTATTTCAGAGGCTAAAGCATAAATCAAATCCGTCCAAATCTCCCTAAAGCTATTCCTTCTTCGATTCTAAAGCGAAACATATTGATAATCATCATCAAACTTTTGCCAATCAGATCTTTCAACCAATCTTTGCATCATTTTTTTCCTATAATCCATATTTCTGTCTTTTTTCGACCACTACTGCTTCGGAAAGGTGCAGAAATCTGGTTATAAACTCGAGTCTTGAAATCCCATAAAAAAAAGCCTTGAATGCTTATAATTTTTAATCGAATACTCCACAGCGGAAAGGGATTCATTCAGAATCGGCGTTGAATTCTGGATTGAATAAACCGTGGCACATGTCATTTGGTCACTACACCCAGTGAGAGAAGAGTTGACATTCCCTTGTGAGTGATTTGCCTAATCGTTCGGGTGTCACTCAGTATTTGTCTCACTCTTCCTCTCTTTCTCTTTCTCTTTCTCTCTTTCTTTCTCTCTCTATTTCTCTTTCTCTTTCTCTGCAAAATTTCCTCTCACTTTTCTCCTATTCTCTTTCATTCACTCTTCAAATCACAAGATAACCCCTCCGAACAGTGAACGTTTTTGTTGTTTGGCATTGTTTGGCATTGTTTTCGATCGAGTTTTATAAAGATATTGATTCAGTAGCTAATTATCGGCTTGTTTTTCGGTGTACTTTTTGTAAACGCATTCTTTCTGGTGTTCTGACGGCAACCTTAAACTTTTCGGCGTCCTTCGCGAGAGAGAAAGACAAAAAATTGTTCCAGATTTGATTTGGAACTCCTACCTTTCTCCTTCAAATCAAATCTGGAACTCGAAATCGCGGCGCTAGATGGGATGCGTTTACGAAGAGCCATCGGCCAAGTGAGAGCTAAGATTTCCCTTTGGTTTGCTTCAGTATTCGACAAAAGAATAGAAGATTCAGTGCACCAGAAATGGTGCGTTTACACCGCTTGAGCATAAAGTATTGTCTTGTGCTTGGCCGAGAACTGGCAGATGAGTTCATCCCGTAAACACACCACATCTAGTGCACAAATGAGAAGCTTTAGACTTGGCAATTTCTCTCTTTCTCTCACCCTTTTTCACATAAATATTCTTCAATCAGTTTTGCATTGAAATTCTTTTTGAAATTTAAGGGTTAATCTCTTTTGTTAATCATCTCTTCAAAAATGGTGGATATCGAGCCAGATGAGCTGATATTTCGAGGTAAATTTATGAAAAAATACTGTAATTTATGCTCAAAAAGTATAAACAAAAGCTTTCTAGTGCACTCGGCATCGTTTTCTCTTCGTTTTTCTTCCGGAGATCCTTTAGTTTTTAAGGGAAAATCGAGAAATCGATAGCAGCCACTAGAGAGGATGTGTTTACACTTTTTAAACACAAAGTACAGTTGCTTGATGTACTATGTACACAAAAAGTGTAAACACATCCCTTCTAGTGCACTCGGCATCGTTTTCTCTTCGTTTTTCTTCCGGAAATCCTTTAGTTTCTAAGGGAAAATCGAGAAACGAGAGAAGCCACCAGAGAGGATTTGTTTACACTTTTTGAGCACAAAGCACAATTGCTCGATGCACTATGTGCAAAAACAAGCGTGTAAACACAACCCTTCTGGCTCACCAAAACGTTTCAGGTGTCGCGCTCGGCTCTCCGCACAAAATGAAAGCCTCTCTCCGTGTCTTCAATCCATCAACGAGCACAATTTTCTATCGGGTTTGCTCCACGCATTCTGTTTACTATTCGCTTCACGTCAGCCCGATCTCAGGTACTCTTTTTTTTCTTTGATCAATCAATTGCTAGACTCTAGGAATTGCTAGACTCTAGGAATTGCTAGACTCTAGGATTTGCTAGAATCTAGGAATTGCTAGACTCTAGGAACTGCTAGACTCTAGGAATTGCTAGACTGTTAGACTCAATTTCTAGGAAAATTACTGCCAAATCAATCCGTGGAGATCTCTTTCATTCTTCCGTCGATTGCATCCGTTCGACATTCGGCTCAACCATTGCATTTCGTTTTGCAAAGCACCACAGCCGCCTCAAACTCAGATATGAGAACATTTTGGAAGGTGCTATTAGATTATAATTGTTATTTATTGAGGCTAAAAGAAATATTTCATGATTTGGATGAACTCTGTGCTCAAAAGCTCAAAAAAACAAAACCGATCCTTTCTAGTGCAGTTAATAGGAGAGAATAAGAGAGAATAGGAGAGAATAGGATCAAATAGAAAAAAATAGAAATCAACTGTGCCAGACAGAGAGGGTTTCTAGTTTTTGAGCTTAAACTACTTGAGAATAAGCTTGAAAACAAGCTTAAAAATAAGAAAATAAGAAAATAAGAAAATAGAAAATAGAAAATAGAAAACTTTTCAGTACGTCGACCTTCTTGATGTCATTGAGATGCCAATTCGAGTCAGAATTCTTCCATTTGAGGAAGATTTATGGGTTTTATTATTGTTTTTTGATTTGGATTTGTTTTCTTTAGACTTTCCACGATACTGAGGCATCGTCAAGTGAAGACGAGCAAGTTTGCAAAAGGAAAGCAAAAGAAAAGGAGAAATTGCAAGAGAAAAAGGAAAATTTAGAGAAACAGGTGAGCTTTTAATGGGAAATTTTATAAGAGTTGAGGTTTTTCAAAGTAAAAAGAGAGTTTTAAAGGTTTAAATGGGTGAATTTCTGGAGCAAAATGTAGCCAAATTTAAGGTAAATTGAGGTAAATTGGGGATTTAAAAATAAATGACGGTATAAAGCGGCACAAAATTGCTCTCTCACTGCCTTCGCCTTCGCCTTCCGCGGCTTCGCCTTTTAGGCGTAGTTAGAGAGCACTACTTAACGCCTACTGTAGCTTTACGAATAAGATAACCGACTCAAAAAGAGAAGCCCCTTATCTGAAGGAGTTTGCGAGATGGCGAGCGTTTACGCGATCGCACAAACAACATCTTGCTCATCTTTACATTTACATTCATTTGCATAGAGATTTTCGCTTTGTAGATACTTTAAAAAGAAAGATATTCTTCTCTAAATTTGCGCCCGGGCGGTTTTCGTAGTTGGCAAATTGATTGAAGTTATTCATTGAGTCTACCAAATATCGGAGATCTTTCTTTCCCTTTTCTGGATCCATTCGATTCGATAAAAAAGACCAAACCGAAAACCAGCTCTAGCTCAGTGCACTGTGCTCGTTTTTGGTTCTAGACCCTCGTTGTCGAGTTACGAGCCCCAAACTGCAGGGTACCACAAAATTTCCCATTCAAAATGACCAAAAAACCGCTAAAACTAAATTTAAAAAATTTCTGTCAAGGGGATTTGGAAAATTCCTTCAGATTCGGAATCAGCACAATTTTCCGCATCTAAAAAAGGTACTCCCAGCAAAATCCGATAGAAAACGCATTTTCGCGCCGATGTGCAGTGTGCTAAACTTGTTGAAACTAGTTGAAAGTTGAAATAAATGCTAAACTAGTTTGCTAGCCTGAATCAATGCTAAACTAGCTTGAATCAGTACTTTTTAGGACTTTAAAAGTGCTGTAAACTAGACTTCGGCAAACAAAACCAAAACCAAAACCAAAACCAAAACCAAAACCAAAACCAAAACACCAAAGCAAAACAAACCAAAACTCAATTTGTATATAAATTAACATGTAAATTTAAAATTGTAAAATGCAAATTTGAATGTAAAATGCAAATTAGCCTTTCACTTTATCTCACTCCACAAAATCTCGCGGCCGAAAAAAAGGACCAAAACACGACCTCGAAATTTCGAAACAAAAAATAGTCTATGGGATAGATTTTTGGATGCTGATTTCAAATCTGCAAACAGATTTTCGCTAGCTCCTCCCAGTCGCGAGATATTGGCGAGTTTTGGTTAGTTTTGGTTTTGGTTTTGGTTTGTTTTGGTTTTGGTTTTGTTATGGTTTTGGTTTTGGTAGTTTTGGTTTTGGTTAAGTTTTGTTTTCCGAAGTCTACTGTAAACTGTCCATTTTACTAATGTTAATGAATTTTGAAGAGATTTCTCAGCGGGATTACTGTATTCCGTAGTCTGACAACTTTTATGCATGCAGAAAGGCGCTTGTCATAGTTTTCATACAGATTTGCATACAGTAGGGTTACTGTAACGTAGCGTTTAGTAGGGTTACTTTAACGTAGCGTTTAGTATGGTTACTGTAACGTAGCGTTTAGTAGGGTTACCGTAGCTCAAGCAACTTTCAGCTTTCATTAGCACCAGTAGTTGTTACTTAAAGCTTGTCTTTGCCAAAGCGCACCTTCTGCCAGACTCTTTTTTTTGCCGGTATGCTAGTTAGTAAAAATTTGCAAGAGCAACGAATTGAGTTAAGGAAAATTAAACATTTTATTTCTAATTTCACCAAAAATCTCCCCAATCACCGGAAAAATTATATCGAAGCGGGAAATGGCTCCCCCACTGATTCCTGATGCCCACAAAGCCATCCGAGTGCCATACGAGCCATATGAGAGCCATAGGAGCCTCACAATCAATCACTATTTACAGGAAAACACCGCGGATTTGAAGAAAACCTCATTCTTTTTGGACGAATCTCGAAATGACGTCATTATTCGTCTTATCAGCGTAAGTGCAAATGACAATTAAAAGCCGGTAAATGCAACGCCCTTCTTATGATTTCAATTGTGATTTCTAGTTGAAAGAATTTGAAGAAAAAGGTTTTTGATTAAAGAAAAAGAAAGAAAAGAAAAGATTTCGAAAGAAATTTGCTAATCGAAAAAAGAATTTTATCATTTCCTTTCTTTTTTTAGCTTGCTGGAGGAGAAGATGCTAAAGTTTAAATAAAAGAAAAACAATGTACTAGACATTGTTGTCGTTTTCCAATTTCCAAATTTTCCAAATTTCCAATTTCCAATCCAAACCAACATTCCAATCAATGAAAAAAAAAATAAATAGCAAATTTTCCCCCACCAACATGTCTCTAGTTGGGTAAAGGTATGGGGAAACTAGCTTTAAATAGCTTTATAGCTTTAACTTCATCAATTCTAGCTTTAAATCCATCACTTCTAGCTTTAACTTCAACAATTCTAGCTTTAACTTCATCACTTCTAGCTTTAAAGTCAATTCTAGCTTTAACTTCATCACTTCTAGTTTTAACTCTATCAATTCTAGCTTTAACTTCACTTCTAGCTTTAACTACATCAATTCTAACTTCAACTTCACTTCTAGCTCTAACTCCATCAATTCTATCTTTAACTTCATCACTTCTAACTTTAGCTTCACTTCTAGCTTTAAATCCATCAATTCTAGCTCTAACTCCATCAATTCTATCTTTAACTTCATCAATTTTAGCTTTAACTCCATCAATTCTAGCTCTAACTTCAGCAATTCTAACTTTAACTTCACCTCTAGCTTTAACTTCATCAATTCTAGCTTAAATCCATTCAAAATTATCAATTATTTAAATTATTTAAAGATAAATGGGCAAAGATTTGAAAGGATTTAATTTTTTTCAAAATTTTACAGGAGAATCGATCTTTGAGAGGAAGAGTCGTCTCATTGGAAAAAGCCGTCGAATATTATGATGAGGTGAGATAAAGCTGATGAGAATGATTTAACAGATTTAACAAAGAAAGAATGAGTTGAGATTAGAAAAAGTGATACCATGAGCTTTATTTTAAGTCAAAAGTTCTAAATCTAAAGATCTAATATCTAGGATTATCACTTTTAGCCTTATAGAGTAGAGAATATACTTTTGTGTCAGTGGAGGAGAATTTCTCATCTCTTATCAATTCAATAAGTCTTAGAATGAAAAGCTATGGTATCTTAATTGGTCAAAGCACATCTTAACTGGTCATCTTAACTGAAATGTTAAAGATTAATGAATAAAATTGAAGATAAGGGACTAGCTTTCAGCAAAACTCCATTCTTACTGCTAATCTGATCTAAATCGATGACACAAAAGAACGAATAGCTCGATCAACATCGATTGAGAGACGAATAGTTGGAATAACTTTGCTCAACTTGCTCAACTTGCTGAACTTGCTCAACCACTCAACTATAGCATATCTACTTCGACTTTATCCTTCGACTTCGACTTCAACTTCAATTTTGTAGATACGTTAGGTTTAGGTTTCATAAAGCTTTTTAAAGCTTTTTTAAAGCTGAAATTGTTTGAGAAAAGAATCGATCCTGAAAAAAAAGAATGAATAAACGAATGTACACTGTACACTGTACAGTACTGGACAATGAAAGATCATATTTGAAAAACGATCGTCACTTTCGCGCTTCTGTAACTCCCTTGTCTTTGAGTTTGTCTTTGAGTTAAACTATTAGTGTTATACATTTTCTGAAAGCTCTTTTCAAGGGCTACACTATGGTAGTATTAATATTTAAAAATACGGTAAAAACAAGGGAGTTACAGACGCGCGAAAGTGACGACCGATTTTCAAATATGATATTTCGTTGTGTATGGAATAAGAGCAAAGAATAATAAAAGAAAAAAAGAAAAAGAATCCAAAATCATTGATGTTATTGGAATTTGTAATTAAGTAATATAAATTAACATTTCATTGATAAACAGCTATCGAAAAACTTTCATTCATAAACAGTTACCCAATTATAAATGATTCGTAAACAGCCGCAACGTAAATATTTGTAGATCATTTGTAGATCATTTCTAGATCATTCCAGACCATCAAAATCAATATTTCAGGTGACGAGACGACACACGGAGTTGGTCGAAGATAATTCGAGACTAAGAAGTCGATTGGAGAAACTGGAGCTGCAACAAGTCCCCTTCAACTGTTGCGTGTGTCTCGAAGACAAGGTTTTCGGCTAATATTATGTCTTTCTTTGGTTTTGGTAAGGGGAAAAGTACGTGCTTTTCTGTGAATTTATGTTGGTATTTGGTCAAAGACTAAGCCTAAGCCTAAGCCTTAAGCCTAAGCCTAGGCCTTAAGCCTAAGCCCTAAACCTAAGCCTGAGCCTGAGCCTAAGCCTAAGCCTAAGCCTAAGCCTAAGCCCTAAGCCTAAGCCCTAAGCCTAAGCCTGAGCCTAAGTCTGAGCCTAAGCCTAAGCCTAAGCCTAAGCTAGCCTAAGCCTAAGCCTAAAGACTTCAAGAAGTGCCAATTAAAACGATTTAGCCGAACACAATCGTCTACCCGTGTCGCCACATTGTGATGTGCTCAAAATGTGCGGCGAGTTCTGGTTCGAAATGCCCAATGTGCAGAACAACAGTCACACAAAAGGCTTTAGTCTATTTTTAGAATCTTTCAGAGAATTCTAAGAGCTTTCTAAGAACACTTGAGGATATTCCCAGTCGATCTTTTACGCACCAGAGTATAATAGATTAAAAGTCTTCAGTCACTATGTCAGATTACTGAAAAGCTGGTCTGTTTACGGTACTGGGACTTACTGTAACTTTAAAAATGTACTATTTTAAGCTATTTAACTTAAAAATGTACTATTTTAAGCTTTTTGACTTTAAAATGTACTATTTTAAGCTATTTAACTTAAAAATGTACTATTTCAAGTTTTTTAACTTAAAAATGTACTATTTTAAGCTTTTTGACTTTAAAATGTACTATTTTAAGCTATTTTAAAGCTATTTTAAACTATTTCTTACCGTTTCACTTTGTACATAGCTCGCTTTCTCTTTATACTTTGTGCTCAACACAGTAAACACATCCTTTTTGGCATACGGAGAGTTTATTTATAGTTTATGGAGTTTATTTCCTCAATTTTGATTGATTATAAAGAAAATTCATCTTGTAATACTTTGTTTTTCAATCAAAATCAACATTGAAAAGTGACAAGTGCTCTAGAAAGGATGCGTTTCCATTTACAAACACAAAATACCCCTCTCCACTTAGTTTTTCTCCGGGTTTTTTTCAAATGATTCGTGAATAAAAGTAATTTATTTCGAACTCGCTGTTTCTTTGCTATTTATTACCCGTAAAATTGCAGATCAAACTAGTGAAGAAAGATCAAAAAATGAAAAGAAACCTCAAAAATCAACATAAAAGTAAGGCAATTCGATAAAAGAAAGAAAAGAAACGAAAAATCAGCGATATTTACACGTGACTTGCGTTATTCCCGTTCACCGAGGTGCTGATCTTTTGAACCTGAAGAAAAAGTAAGATGTAAGGTGTAAGATGTAAGATGTAAGATGTAATGTACTGAAGATGTAAGAGAAATTCATCTTATGTACGCATCCACCTGTTACCGTATCCATTTTGCTTACCTTGATCGACAGCGGGTGCTCACAGTTTGGGCAAACGCAATTCGGCGCCTCCTCACTCCTCGACATCATCTCGATACACAACTCGTCCATCGTGTCAGCTACTCGCTTTGTACCCGTTCTGGAATAAAAACCGGTTCTTCAAGTTTCTCAACTGTCTTCTGTTTGTTGTAGACTTTGTTTAAAGTTAGGCCAGGATCACAAGTCTAAGTCTAAGTCTAAGCCTAAGTCTAAGCCCGAAGCCTAAGCCTGAGCCTGAGCCTAAGCCTGAGCCTAAGCGTAAGCCTAAGCCTAAACTAAGCCTAAGTCTAAGCCCAAGCTAAGCCTAAGCCAAGCCTAAGCCAAGCCTAAGTTAAGCCTAACCTAAGCTAGCCTAAGTCAAGCTTTGATGGCAACAGTTCTCTTGTTTCCTAAGCCTAAGCCTAAGCCTAAGCCTAAGCCTAAGCCTAAGCCAAAAGCTCTGGCCTGGTTCACAAAAGTCCTGAACTGACTTAGGACTCGATTCGGCATTCCTATTAATAGGCAACCAATCGCAAAAGATTCAATTTCAAGCCTGACACCTCTATTTAGATCTACTGTAGAGTGAGTAAGATAGTAACTTTTATCATGACATCCTAGAGCTTAAAAAGTTGAGCCTAAAGTCTTTTTAAACAGTCCATTGAATCGCTTTAACAACTGTAAGCAGTTTTTGTTAGCTTTCGCAAAACAGATGTGAATCTGCAGGTCTCAACCGGGCTGAGAATCTGCCATATCTTGCGGAAACTCACACTGTCAAAAGGTGAAGACTTCTGCCTGCTCCGGCCTGAGCTGTCTCCTTAATCACTCTCCTTGAGCGCCTGGGATCCGGGAAATTACCCCGGACGATAGATTGCTTATTCCGGATCTCCGCTCTTTGATATAACTAAGGTTATCAGTGATCCCGACTTCCTTCCACCTACCACACTCTGCCGCCACGAAACTGGCTCACATGCTCACGCATGTGATCAGGCTCACGGCGATCATGCTCACGGCGATCAGGCATGGACTTTTGTGGACTGTCAGTGGATCTATAGGGAATGGAAATGCCAGACAAACAAGGGATGAGAGATGCGGTAAGAATGGAACACAGAAAAGCTGCTGCTCCTTTGCTTTATTCATCGGATCATTAGATCTCCGGATCTCCGGACCAAATCAACGGGCAACTTCACTCACTGATTTACATTTAAAGTGAACAAGGAAGTACGGTAGTCATTCCAGATACGGTAGACGGAGAACGGTAGAAAATGTCGGTGGTAAGTCTTGTACAGTTATCAGTGATCAATTTAGGTAGGTAACTAGGTAGCTAGGTAACTACCATGTTTCCAATTCTCCCGTCGGCTTGAGCTTGGTTTATGGTTTGGGCTAGCTTATAAAAAGAACCTTGTCATTTTCCTGTGCATTCGCTCGGTGACCAAAATGAGTCCCTTTTTGAATTGACTATTCAGTTGGGCATAGAAAATCCAATTGAACGCCGCTGCCAAGAAGGGAAGCATATGGGCCACATAGGTGATCTTGATGAAGTCACGACTGAGAGAAAGACGAAAGATTTTCGCGAAGATCAAATAGATTTGCGGTAACCAGTAGGGAATCTAAAGTTATTCATTGATTAAACAAATCCTTGACTTAGACAAATACCTGGCATGCCAAGTAGAACAATGTGACAACCAGTGTGTAAATCGTGATCCGTTTAATGGGGATTCTTGATTGCAACATTGTGCTGAAAGGGATTGTTTGTGTTGATTGGTTGATTAAGCTAAATTAAAGCTAGAGAAAGCTAAAGCTAGCTAGAGAAAGCTAAAGCTAGCTAAAGAAAGCTAAATTTAGCTAAAGAAAGCTAAAGCTAGCTAAAGAAAGCTAAAGCTAGCTAAAGAAAGCTAAAGCTAGCTAAAGAAAGCTAAATTTCCTCAAGTTTCCTGTGTTTGCAATTGCTACAAGTGTACGATCACTGACCGTATCTGTCGCCTCAACCTCAAAATGATTCTCACGTAGAAATATGTGAGTAAAGTGCATGGGAGCAGAAATGCAACGACAACCATGGCGCATAGAAACTGGAGAAAAGGCTTTTGGTGGAATTAGAAAATCACTGAGTTTACCCAGAATTTCATCGTGATACTCAACCCGTCAACGCACATTTGTTTCACGATTGGATAGGTGATCGTCTGAAAAATTTTCATATCCAGATAGTTCAACAGCTTCAACAGCTCAACAGCAAAGCTATGAGCAAAGCAACAGGGTTTTGTAAGTACTATTTTTAAATAGTTTAAATATTTGACGGGATAGGACTCCTCCTGAGATATAATTCCTTAAATACAATACCCCAAAGTACAGTATCGAAGTAAGTACCCTGAAGTATTACTTCTATAGTATAGTATCCCGAAGTAAGTACTCCAAAGTACAATACCGAAGTAAGTATCCTAAAGTACAGTACTCCAAAGTACAGCACCAAAGTACAATACCGAAGTAAGTATCCCAAAGTACAGTACCAAAGTACAATACCGAAGTAAGTATCCCAAAGTACAGTACTCCAAAGTACAGCACCAAAGTACAATACCGAAGTAAGTACCCAAAAGTACAGTACCGAAGTAAGTATCCTAAAGTACCGTACTCCAAAGTACAGTACCAAAGTACAATACCAAAGTAAGTATCCTAAAGGACAGTACCCAAAAGTACAATACCGAAGTAAGTATCCTAAAGTACCGTACTCCAAAGTACAGCCCCAAAGTACAGTACCAAAGTACAATACCGAAGTATGTATCCTGAAATACAGTACCCAAAAGTACAGTACTCCAAAGTACAGTACCAAAGTCAGTACCCTGAAGTACAGTACCCGGAATACAGCACTCTTCCCGAAGCACAGTACTCCTCCTGAAGTACCGTACCCTCCAAATACAAACTTCCCCCCTGAACCACTTAACTTTTGTGGGAAGTAAAATTTTATATTATTGTTTTTATTGAAATTGAGTTTAGGGTGTGTAATTACTGAACTTACTTTATTTTTCTACTCCGAGTACTGGAGTACGTGTTTTTTTAGTTTTGTTGTTTTCTTTTTTTGTTTTTTTTCTGATATTTGACTGAACATTCTTAGGTCTTTATTATTTCAATTAGCATTTCTTGTTTTTTTTTTTATGTTGTGTTCGATTTAGATTTCCTTCCATTTAGTTTATATAATTAAACTATTATAAAAACTTTTATTATCGGTTCTTTTTGTCGATCTGCGGACCTCCGATATAGACTGTAATCAATAAAAGACCTTTGAAAAAAGAAGAAAAAAAAAAAAAAAAAATATATTAATAATTTTTTTTTTTTTTTTTTTATCTATATAAGATTTAGATTGAATCTAAATCGGACGCAAATCTAAATCGGACACAACATATAGACTTCTGAGACTTTATGGCAACTTTAAAGTTCTAATTTCTTTTCTTTTTACCTCAGCTTTTGGTTTCTTTTCTAAGATCCTCGTGAAAATGTCGTCAGAGTGAAATTCTTTTACATAAGCTGAGAAGACAACGGGCGCAATTAGGATTGTCGAGATACAGATCATCCCAGTCACAATGGCTGCCGTTTGACGCATTTGGTGAACCTGGAAATGGGTGGAGTGAATGGGTGAGCTGATTTGAGTTGATTTCAGATTTCTTTAATAGTTTAGTTTCTCTTTTTCATCAAATTATTAATGAAAAAGTTAACGACTACGCGAGTGTACAGCTAAAAGTGTACTGCTAAAAGTGTACTGCTAAAAGTGTACAGCTAAAGGCGTACTGCTAAAGGCGTACTGTTAAAAGTGTACCGTTAGAAGTGTACTGTTAGAAGTGTACTGTTAAAAGCGTACTGCTAAAAGTGTACTGCTAAAAGTGTACAGCTAAAAGTGTACAGCTAAAAGTGTACAGCTAAAAGTGTACTGCTAAAAGCGTACTGCTAAAGCGTACTGCTAAAAGCGTACTGCGAGTGTACTGCTACAGCCTCTTCCCTCATTCTTACCCGTTTCATTTCCGGATGACATATCGCCATGTATCGATCAAAAGCTAGAGCTGTTAGGATGAAAGAGGAACAGATCTAGAATGCTTGTTGGAAATGGTTGCTTTCGAGTTTAAACCTTATTCGAAAGCTCCAAAAGAAAGTAGATTTTGCAAGCGAGTTGCCCGAAAATCCAATTCTCTAGCACCATCACTGAAATTTATTTTTAACAATCGCAAAAACTCATCTACCTGATAAATGAAATGGAATTGACATCGTGACCAAAAGATCGACTCCCGACAAAACGACCATGTAGACGAATGTGTTTCCCAAAGCAGTCACTGAGGATCGTAAGGATCTGAAATTGGAAAGGTCACTAAATTGTCACTAAGTCGAGCCATTCAACCGGAAACTTCAACCGGAAACTGTTAAATAGTCAATTTTGTTCCTGTTCCAGTCAATTTTGAACTCAAATTCATCCAAGAATCGTTGTTTAGAATTTTCGAAAAAAGCCAATAGAGCCTTAGAGCCTTAAAGCCTTAAAAAAGCCTAACAATGAAACCTTCTCAAGTTACCCGCTAGGTATGAGGTAGGTGCCAAAAGGTAGATGATAAGAGGTAGATGCCAAAAGAAAGGACTGAAAATGTACGTTCAGAAACTGTTTTCAAAAAGCCCTAATCGGGAAAGCGCACAAAGTTACAGCCATTTGAATTCCGAAAAAATGAAGGCTTTTCTCGAATTTCTGGCACACTGATTTTTGCCGGCGGGAAGGCGGAAAAACTTTCCTTTCGCCATCCCAAAAACCAGCTCGTAGCGTAGTGGTTAGTGTGCCTGCTTTGGTCTTGGTTAGTGTGCCTGCTTTGGTCTTGGTTAGTGTGCCTGCTTTGGTCTTGGTTAGTGTGCTTGCCTTGGTTAGTGTGCCTGCTTTGGTCTTGGTTAGTGTGCTTGCCTTGGTCTTGGTTAGTGTGCCTGCTTTGGTCTTGGTTAGTGTGCTTGCCTTGGTCTTGGTTAGTGTGCCTGTTTTGGTCTTGGTTAGTGTGCTTGCCTTGGTTAGTGTGCCTGCTTTGGTCTTGGTTAGTGTGCTTGCCTTGGTCTTGGTTAGTGTGCCTGCTTTGGTCTGTGTTTGTGCTTGCCTTGGTCTTGGGTTAGTGTGCCTGTTTTGGTCTTGGTTAGTGTGCTTGCCTTGGTTAGTGTGCCTGCTTTGGTCTTGGTTAGTGTGCTTGCCTTGGTCTTGGTTAGTGTGCCTGCTTTGGTCTTGGTTAGTGTGCTTGCCTTGGTCTTGGTTAGTGTGCCTGTTTTGGTCTTGGTTAGTGTGCTTGCCTTGGTTAGTGTGCCTGCTTTGGTCTTGGTTAGTGTGCTTGCCTTGGTTAGTGTGCCTGCTTTGGTCTTGGTTAGTGTGCTTGCTTTGGTCTTGGTTAGTGTGCCTGTTTTGGTCTTGGTTAGTGTGCCTGCTTTGGTCTTGGTTAGTGTGCTTGCCTTGGTTAGTGTGCCTGCTTTGGTCTTGGTTAGTGTGCTTGCCTTGGTCTTGGTTAGTGTGCCTGCTTTGGTCTTGGTTAGTGTGCTTGCCTTGGTTAGTGCCTGCTTTGGTCTTGGTTCGGAGCAGTCAAACTTTTTGCTTTTCTTGATAACATTAAAAAACCTGATTAGAAATTTGTATAATGTTATTTAATGATTGACAAAGAAGAACCTACATTTTCAGGCCTTTCTTTTGGCACCTACCTCATATTGTAAATCGCGGGTAACTTGAGAAGGTTTCCTTGTAAGCCCTAACCAACAAGAGCGCTCTACCCGCGAGGGAAACAATAGCAGTGATGGCCTAAGGGTTAGGGCGTTAGACTACAATACGTTACGTTAGACTACGTCAGACTTCCAATGACCCTCCTTTCAATTGGTTCGAGTCCCGCCACGGACAAACCTTTTGCAACAGACAACAAAGTAATATTTATCTTTTTTGCAACAAAAAAGACAAACTTTAAGGCTATAAACTGAACTGAAAAGATATTTGGAATATGTTGGAATGATATGAAAAGATATCCGACTCTGAGCTCTCTGAGCTTTTTCTGAAACGTCACCCACATTTTCCATTCCTATTCCACATCCCCTTGTCAGATCTGTAGCTTTCTTGAAACTTGAAACATTTCCAAAACAAAAGTCAGACCATTTATTAGTCGGATTACTGTAGTAAGACACTTTTAAAATCCTCTAAAGCCTGATTAAGCCATTATATTCAATTAAAATAGAAAAAAACAATATTGCTTCAGTTTTGAACTTCATTATTTAAATATGGTTCAGATACGGTTCCAATATGGTTCAGATACAATTCCAATATGGCTCCAATATGGTTCTAATACGGTTCCAATATGGTTCTAATATGGTTCCAATATGGTTCTAATATGGTTCAGATACGGTTCCAATATGGTTCAGATACGATTCCAATATGGCTCCAATATGGTTCTAATACGGTTCCAATATGGTTCTAATACGGTTCCAATATGGTTCAGATACGGCTAGAAACTTCTATGCAACGATTAAAACAATTCCAAAGTATAAAGAGACCTTTATTTCTTTATTAAAGTGTTTATAAAGGGTTTTTGATTCAATCTTTAAGTGAATAAACTGTAAAGAACTTTACCTTGTCACAAAGAAAACATAAGTGAGCACAGCGACGTTGCCAGCCGTTCCGAAAATGAACAAAAAAGCGTAGGGAAGGGAAAAAGAGGTGACTTCGGTGCTGTACACTTGCATTGATGGACCCGGCGAATGTACAGAAGTCATCTGAATTTGAACTGAATAAAGTGGGAAAAGTGAAAGAGATGATATAAAAGAAGAGAATAGATTAAGAATAGATTAAGAATATGTTAAGAATGTGCTAAGAATATGCTAAGAATAAATTAAGAATATATTAAGAATCTATTTTTCAGAATAAAAACACGATTTATTGATAAATTGTTAAGAAAAAAGGTAAAAGTTGGCAAGAAAAACCCGCGGTTCGGCGGGGTTTTCTAGCTGTTTTTCTTGTTAGTCTTTCAGTCGACGTGGCGCAGTGAGGAGCACGCTTGTCTCGCAGCCACATTGTCCGGGTTCGAATCCCGGGTCTTCCCTTACTTTTGCTTTTTTAATAAATAAAATATGAAATACAAAACTACCCAGAATTCCAAGCCTAACAAATTAAAAATTATGTAAATCGCCTCACGGGAAGCCGAGAACTCGCGCGTACAAATGGACGAGGCAAAGAATTGATTTTATATATGTCGTAGCCGATGAAGGATTTCAGCCGATTAAGTCTCAAAAATGGAATCTTGAGTTATGTATTGACTCAAGTCAATACCACAAACTCAAGCTCTCCAAAAGGCGCTTAAAAGCTAAAAACGCATTCTAAAGAGTGCGCATTTTAACATACTATAACCAAAGGCTATAAAAGGGCCCTTTTCGTCATTCGTCAAAGGCACGGATTTAATCGATCTTCAATCCGTTTCCGATGGAGAATTCAAGTTTTTGATGGACTCAAGTCAATACCACAAACTCAAGCTCTCTAAAAGGCGCTTAAAAGCAAAAAACACATTCTAGTTGCATTTTGCATTTTTCGACCAAACTAAACAACAAATAAAACAATAATACGGTTCACGAGTTCTTTTACCTAAAAGCAAACAAAATAAAGCGTCATTAAGAAATTCGATAGGACACAAAAGTAAAAGCTTACCAATCTGTTGGCGAACTCCTTTCCGTTGTCGAACTAAAGAATTTTTGGGGACCAAAGAAAAAAAAAGAAACGTTCCGAATATTTCCATTAGATGATCGACAACTTCAAATTGTGTTTTTCTTTGCAATGCCCGCAAAACGACGAACTTTGTGAAATGATCCTGATAGACCATCAAAAACTTGAATTCTCCATCGGAAACGGATTGAAGATCGATTACCGTATTTACTCTAATAGTGGGGTCGTCTGGAGGGGGGTTGAAAAAATAGTGGGGTCCTCTCTAATATTGGTAAGGAAAGTGATACATCAATTGTTGATCTCTTGGATTAGTTCTTTTACTGTTTGTTAATGTTTTGTTACGGTTAAAGCTAAATAAAATATGAAGCCAAACTTGTTTTTTCAAGAATTTCGGAGAAAAATTGATATCTTTTCAACTTAAAACTTTGGTTTTATGTTCTTTTAAATTTCTCTAATAGTGGGGTCCTCTCTAATAGTGGGGTCGTCTGGAAGGGGATTGAAAAAATAGTGGGGGACCCCACTAATAGAGTAAATACGGTAAATCCGTGCCTTTGACGAATGACGAATGACTTTTATAGCCTTTGGTTATAGTATGATAAAATGCGCACTCTTTAGAATGCGTTTTTAGCTTTTAAGCGCCTTTTAGAGAGCTAGAGTTTGTGGTATTGACTTGAGTCAATACATAACTCAAGATTTCATTTTTGAGACTTCATCGGCTAGCCGAAGAAGTCTGAGACTTCTTCGGCTGAAATCCTTCATCGGCTACGACATATATAATAAATTGTTAAAAAGAAAGATAATAAATTGTTAAAAGTCGAATGACTGGCTTGGAAATGGAATGAAAAATGAGACAAGGAAATAGAAAAACCGAAAAAAAAAAATAAGGAAAATGGTAGAAAATTGTAGCTAAGACCAATAAGTTTTCATACAAAAAAAACCCGTCAAAAAGTTCCGTTGAACCTAGAAATTAAAAGTTTTTTTGAATCAAGTACGCACTTTGGAGAACATAGGGATAATTACAGAGCTGAAATATTGGCAATTTCGAGTTGCAACAGGGAAATGGGAAATTGGGGGCTTTTTTTAAGAAAAAGAAACGAAATCTACAAGCTTTAACGGTTTCTTTTACTGCTTTTTTGCGCGAAATTTCGGAAATGATTCTTTTTTTTGGAAACTGGGAACTCTGAAAGCTTAAAAGGAATAATGAAATATCATATTTGAAAATCGATCGTCACTTTCGCGCGTCTGTAACTCCCTTGTCTTTACCGTATTTCTAAATATTGATATTACCATGTAGCCGTTGAAAAGAGCTTTCAGAAAATGTATAACACTAATAGTTTAACTCAAAGACAAACTCAAAGACAAGGGAGTTACAGACACGCGAAAGTGACGATCTTTTTTTCAAATATCATATTTCATTGTCCAGTACTGTAGATAGAGAAGAGCTATGTAAAATGTGCTTTCTAAAACGTTTCCCCTTTCTCTTTCTTGAAGAGAAAAGGGATCTTGTCTAATCTAGCGAGTTTTTTCATCTTTTAGCTTAATAGAAACGAGTCAAAGAGAGAGTCAAAGCTCAGTTACAATGGGCTCGGCAATCTGCCTCTGTGGCTTAATGGATAAGACTCTGGTCTCCAAAACCACCCATCCAACTTTTGCTCGGGTTCGATCCCTTCCATCGGTTTTCATTTTGTTTTCATTGTTTCATTGTTGATCATCCTGTTTTCATTGTTAAATCGAATCTATTTTAACTTTAGAATCTTAGAACATAATAGAATAGACAAAAATAGAAGAAGGTAGAAGAATAAAAATCGAAGAAGATAGAAAGAGAGAAGAAACTGTTGTAGAAAAAAGCGAGAGAAAAAGCGAAAGCAATGGAGAGTGACACAATTTTAAGCTCTTTTTATTCTTTAGCTTAGGCTAAAGATTAACAATAAAAGGAAAACAATGACAAACAAATTATTCCAATGCTCAGGGCCAAAAAAAGAGTCCAATTCTCAGTCGCTAACAAAATCTAGGTGTTAAACGTTTCAAATAACGTGGAAAACGAAATTTTTGATGATTCTGAATTGGATAATGAATTAAAAACAAATCTAAACAAACAAATCCTCATCATTTCTGAAATTTGATTAAATCTTCGTTTCTAGAATTTGATTTTAAATTTGATTGATTTTTAAGTTTCTAGAATTTGATTAAATCTTCAATTTATTCATATTAGAAAGTCAATTTCTGCAAATTTCTGCAGAGCCGGAAGCGGCTTTTTTGAAATTCTTTTTGAAATTTCCAGAGAAAATCTAATAACTTCAACCAAGAGATTTTGATGTAAGGAATAATTTAAAGAGATTTTAAAGTCCAGATAAACTTCCCAAAAGTTCCTGAAAAGATCATCCAAACTTTGGAGGAGAATTTGCTTTGGAACTGGAAGCAGATCAAAAGTTGCGCGCCACCGGGACTCGAACCCACGACCTTTCGCCTATCAGGCAACTGTGCTAACCATTATACCAAAACACACTTGACCTCCCATTCTCCAGAGAGTTAACTATTGGTTTTGCACCCCACTTTGTGCGTTCTCTGGTCTGATTGTAATATCTTTGGCTAGATACCGTTTTCTCTCTAATAGTAGTGCACCCAAAGCTTCGCCTAAATTCCTAAATTCCTTGAAATCTCGAAAAGCGCTTATCAGAACCTATCGATGTGGGGTCGGAAAATGGAGCTGACGATGAGATCTTGCAGGGGATTAGGGTGTTGAGCTTCTGTGAAAGCTTTGAAAGCCGTATAATAGTCACCAACTCGGCGTGCACTACTATTAGAGAAAATACAATATATGTTTAACTTTTTAGAATCACAAGAGAAGGTGACAAAGCTAAGCAAATGACATAAGCCATCAATCATACAAAGAAGAATTTGACGCTGATTTCAATTCTGCTATCCGTTTTTACGAAATTCGATCCGAAATCTGGCAAATCTGGTAAATCTAGCGAAATTTGAGGTCAAAACAGAAGTCAAAATCAGTCCTTTACATGTATAGCGCTTCTTTAATCGACTTGAAATCTGGCCTTGTATATGGATAAGAAGAGAGTGGATAAGAGTCTTGTTTCCAAAACGAATGATCAAGCTTTATCTTGGGTTCGATCCAATCCAAGAAAAACCCAGTTTACGAAATTCAGCCACTAGCGAGAATCATTCGTGAGCGGCTGAATTTCGTAAACGGCTACGACATATATAAATATATCACGAAGTACTGAAGTCTCCCATCAGAAAAACTTTGTTTTCCTAAAGCCAAAAAAGGAAAAATTGACAGCTGGATTTAAAAAAAGAGAAAAATCTGCCGAAAAAATCTGCCGAAAACGGCCGACTAATTAGATTTTGATGGAGAAATCGAAAATGACTGAATGATCGAATATTTGAAATAAAATTAGTCATTCTGAAGGGAAATTTCTGAAAAATCTATATGATTTTACTTTCACAAAGATCTGAAAGAAATTTTGAACGTTTTAACGTTTTGAACTTTTTCAAATCGAATCCCTAGAGAGATTTTTGTCGAATCCGGATCTTTCTACTTTGAGATGAGATAAAGATCTTTTTCTTTAAAGAAAACTTTTCAGAGAAAAGTTATTTGAATAGGAAATGGAAAGAAATACAATGTTTTACATTAAAATCGAACAGAAAAAGTGTTTGCAAAAGTGCCAGATTGAGTTGGAAGCAGATCAAAAAGTTCGGCCGCACTGGGTGTCGAACCCGCGACCTCTCGCTTGTCAGCCAACCGTGCTAACCACTACACCGCAAAGCATTCTCTCACTCGTTCCAGAGGGAGTTTACTATTGTAAAGTCCCGAAAAAACGATTGAATTGAATTACCTGGCCTAGTAATTCGTTCTTTGTGTCCATCCATGTCCACCTGGCACACTCAACCGTATACCAGATGCCAGCTTTTGAAGCAAATCGTGCAAAGAACGCACAAAATTCCTTAAAAACTGTGCTTAACAAGGCGAAAAACCCGTCTACCACACTAAAATCATCCTTGTTTCAACTGTTGCTAAAGATAATTCCCGAAAACTACCGTAATC